GTAGCCATGCCTTTCACGTACACTTTGTGCAAGTCCAACAAGCTTCTGTTGCCTCAAAGTGTTCACCATGATTGGTATTTGTTGGCTCTTTGATTGGTCATCCCTCCAAGTAACCAACAATTCCACGATGCAGTCTTCGACCAGTCTGTAGTTTTTTGTTATCTTTTTTATATCGGTCCATTTGAGTCCAAGACGCACTCGCAGTCTCCTCCATGATTCGGGATCCAAATTGTCACAGATAAACAGCAAATCTTGATCATTAAACCATTTTTCTACATAAAAATTATACAGATTATACAGTGAGTAAAAAAAAACACTTAGTTAATGATGTCATTGACTCTGCTGTGTACTATTGTTTACTTTGGTATCAAAATGGAAACAAGCTACAGAACAAAATGTGAGGTTAATTTGCGATGTATTTCTGAAATCTTGAGATACTTACCTGCTTCTCGCGTAACAAGATTTTCATCGCGAATTTCACCCTCAAACAATTCTTCAGCTAGTTGACTGAGCTTATGTTGTTTCAGAGCAGTGCACAACACTTTACGTTGATGAATATCGTTACTGAGGCTGCTCCTCCAGTCATTCATCATATTTTTGGCAGCCTTATAAGTCTGCGTATCATCAGCATTGAACTTGTTCACTTTCGACCACTTAAGTCCCAAACGGACACCAAACCTTCTCCAGCTGATATTTAAATCGTCAGAAACTGTCACAATGGTGACGTCATCCACAAAGCCTAACAAACAAGATAATTATTACTTGAAAACGTAATTATCCCAACTGTATCTGACATGAGTTTTAGACACTCCATTTAAAAGAAAATTAAAACTTTCTCTAAAAAAAAAAAAAAAATTATACCAACGCAATTGACCCCTGGTCTCCCAAAATTAAAAACTATTTTTTTACTTTCTGTTTATGCATAATGTTGTCGGTTTAAAAAACCGAATATACAAAATAAGTGACTGGAAATTCGGGAAAAATAATAGCATTATTTTTAAACCATTATCCAGCAGTACAGATGACTTTTAAAACCGGTTAGTTGCAACAAAACATTTGTTTTCAATAAAAGCAGCACCATCTTCATCAGATATAAAGTAAGTGATTCGTTATTCAAAAAAAACCATAAACATACCTGTTGTAAGTCGTGTTTGTAAAACGTAAAACGTTTAATTTGTGTAACTTATCGTTGGACACATAATAATCATGGTCAAAATTATTCAATGTATTGATTAATCAACCTACACATCTAAACCGCATTTTAACCGCATACCCATGACGAACTCACACTTTCAAGCAAAACAAAGTATAACATTATTTTATCATGAAGTAAGTTCAATGTAAACACCGTTTGTAGCTGGCTGTCGTGTTGCCGCTGTGCCAAATTTCACCCATTTTAAATTTCTCACCACTATGCACAATTCTTGCAAGTCTCTTATTGAGAATGTGTTATTATTTTATGTATAGAGTTCTATTTTTCAAATTTCAGTTTACATTTTAAAATTTGTCCTATTTTTATATTTTTTTTCTCGTGTTACCTGTGCAATTCGGAATTGGCCAGTATCAGTGGTGCCTTGATTATTCACCTGTTGGCCTTTTTTTCGGAACCGGCATCATCTCAATGTAATTGTATTGTATATTTGCCAGTGTGGGGTAGTAGGCCTTTATATATACATTATTAAAATAAATAAACAGTATTTACCTTGTTTTACCTTGTGTGCTGCCGGTCGTGGGAAAAAAAGTCTGTTTTTCATTTTTCTAGCCCTTGTGCCTATACGAGCATCAAAACCTCTCCGACAGCGCTGGACTGGAAAAATAATTGTATTCAAATATAATTAATGTTATTATTATTACACTGCTCATGAAGGGAATGGTGAAATCTATTGCCCCAAGGTGATGTGAACACATATCTTACGGTCTCCACACATCACCGAGGGGCTGAATGTCACCGTTCCAGGAATCTAGAGTAGTCAATATTTGTTTATATACCTCAGACATAGATTCTACGAGACCTAAAAAAGTAAGGAAAATACTACACACCAAGCAGGCCGTCTAATATAATAATTATACATTATATTATCTATTATAATAATATACTGAGTGTATCAAGACAATCCAATACTACTTCTTATTTTTTATTTTTATTATTATTATTATTATTAACATTGTTTTACATCGATAATTGAAGGGCTATTTTTTTGTGTTTTTGAAAACAAATCGGTCAAAATCTGCTTTTTAAAAAAAAACTGATATAGGCTTATTTGTTTTGTTAGTAAGCCGTAACACGAAGTGTTGATTACAATTTATTGATTAGTACATAAATACTAAGTAATTTTAGCCTCATTTAATGGTATACAAAATAAATGTTATCAATCCATACCTGAATGGTACTGAATGGTGTGAATAAAATAATTAAGAAATTCAACTCAAATACATGCTGAGATTGACAGAAGTGGGAAAGAACAAACGCTAATTTTCAGGTGGCTCAAAAGCTGTTAGGTAATAAGCACTCACACCAAGCTATACCCCCTTCCACATAGGGGCGGATCCAGTGGGATAGCCAAGGGGCCACGTCCCCATCCCTGTCAGTTCCGCCGAAAAATTAAAAAGAGAAAAAAATTGAGAAGACTTAAAGAAAAAAAAAAGGGGGAAAAGGATGTGTATCCATGAGTTCAGTGGCGAATCCAGCAGTGGGTGAAATGAGAGCTCAATTATTTTTACCACTCACTAATTTTGAATTTTCTATTGATTGACGAAGAATACAACGCTATATTCCCGATGTCAAATTTTTCAACTATTTCATAAATCAGTATGGAAAAAAAGGCCAGAAGACAGAAAACCAAGACAGAGTTTTCAACCATTATCCATGATCTGTGGTGTAACGCCTATGCGCTCTCGTGCGGTGGTCTGCAGGGCCACCGATCCCTAGGGGCACCTTTGGTATCCCTACCCATGGTCCAGTAGTGCCCTCGCTGTATTGTACCCAGGGCCAAAAAGGGTTTGTTAATACATAACAGCACAATATGTCTCCAACATCGACTGTAGGACATATGCCATTTGGAGTGTGGTGCCCAGCCGACAGGACCCCCTACATTTGTCAAACTTTTAAAAAACTGGAGATAAAATATTCAAATTTTAAGTCTGAATGAGTGCCATTTCCGGGCATCTACTGTAGATGTCCCATAATCATAACATAATCATAATCATAGTCGCAAGGATAGGGGTGTCTAAGGGAAGTGGAGCATAGCTCTCCTGTGGGGACAACAATTTTGTCGAGGAACACTGCTTTGAAAAAGTATTTTTACCATCTGAGAGTGCTATTTCCGAGCGTCTAGAAGGGCCTTAAAATTTCTCACCTCAGCCCCAACACTATGGCGTTCCCCAACCCCCACCCCCTTCAGAACTGACGATCAGCAATTTTACTTTTCTATATTTTTTTCTAGGTTTTTTTTTTTTTACCACTTCCTTCAACTAGACAATGCTATATGTGCTATACAAGTGCACAATTTACCTTGTTGTTGCACGTCATCTTCAAATAGTCGGCAGTAGCACGTCACTTCCATTCCATTGCTTCCACATGGCAACACATCCATGTCAAATTGGCGCACAATATGCATGTGAGCGTTCCTACAATCGCAAGCAATGTACCTTGTTAATTCCACGCCCCTTGCACCGCTCTGACAAAATAACTTTAGTTCTGTTTCGAGGAATATCAACACCTGTAGCAAATAGAAAACTGATCGTAAATCTATTGATGTTAATGACATGATTATTACATTTAAAAAAACTGATTTCTTAAGTGTTTCAAGTCATTGAAGGCAGTACCTTCTTACATACTATCGGCGATGGTTCATCTTCCTGGGTAAGCTGAGCGGCATTGAAGATTTTTCGTCTGATGATTGTTGTCTGCAAAACGAACATAGGCCTCTGTCATAAGCAATTTTCAATAATGTATTAGACATAATATTTGATACTTAAGTGCTTGTGGTTCTGGTTTTGTATGGGGGTGTGTGTGTTTTATGTGCTTGATGTTCCAATAGTAAAATGGTATTCCTTCTATATACAGTATTTAATTTTTATTTTTTAATAATTATGATAACGTTGTTTCAGTGGCGTCGAGAGGGGGGATCAGGGGGGTTGCTGCCCCGGGGACCGGGTCTACTGGGGGGCCCGGACCAAGATGAAAAATTTTCGGGGTAAGAATAAAATCTCCATAGGGCCCGAGCCCAAGCCAGGATGAAAACTTATGTATTCAGAACAAACTCTTAGGAGGAGACTTAATTTGGGGAGCGGCCGAGTGGGGGTCCCAAGTGAAGGGGGGCTCATGTGAGGTGTTGCCCCGGGGCCCTTACTGGCTCTCGACGCCACTGTTGTTTATTAAGGTAATGACGATAATGATGGCAGTGGGATTGGTACAAATGAAGACGACGATGATGATGATAATAATAATGATGGATGATGATGGTGTAAAAGTTGCAATTAAGATATGTAGAAGCCTTTATACTAAGAGACAGATGACTATTCAACAGAATTTCAAGAAATATATAACGAAACTACAGTAATACTAACATTTAAATTATGATTAATGTATCGATTACCTGTATTGCATTTCTATTGATTAAAAAAAAATTAAACATGGCAAATTTTGAATATAACATTCCATAATCTACCATTATGAATAAACTTGTCATTTATATTCAAAGTACTCTTAAGTGGCAGAGATAAATAATCTTAAATTGCACTAATTACCTTAAACATACAACGATGCTTGATTGAGGCTACACTCAAAACCATGTGATGAAGTTCATCGATACCCAATTCCACGTGCTCATAAGATAATGTAGGCTCATCGTCTTTTACTTGGAATCTCTCAATGAACTTAGTTATTCCACGCTGGAAAAGATCGTCAGGTAGATAGCGACCAAAGTCATGAAAGATTGAAACTGCGTGAATCCCGTAATTGTTAGTTTGAGTGGCATCTATTCATTTTGGCTTCAAGCGCAAAAGAACTTAGAAAATACGTTCACCACCCTGAAAAAAATTAAACACTTTATGTCAAAAATAGAAAAAGAACATTTTAAACAAATTAATGACATGCCTATGATGATTTTAATTTGCTTTTATCAATTGATGTGATAAAGCATAATCTTAGTGCAAAGAGAAACAATATTATTGAAAAAAAATACCATTGTAATGTTTTTCTCGCACACCAGTCCAAATTTCTGCATGAGAGATACAAAGAAGTCAAACATCTCATCTGAAAAATTGAAGTCCTTCCAGAGGTGTCTTAACAGATGCTCCTCTGGGACTCCCGAGTCCAATCTTCTTCATGCCTTTCTGTGCTTTGTTTCCTGAAATTTAATCATTTTATATCAGGCTATGCTTTTATTGCAAAAATACATCACTAAAATAAATAAACGTAAAATTGTGTGAAGTTTAACTTACATAAACTTTGGATCAATAACGGTGATTATTGTTTTAAACATGTCAACTATTTTCATCAGATCTAAAACAATAATGTCCTTTAAGGCGTCGTCATCAGGAAAGAAAAGAATCTCGCCAAGGTCGTGTAAATACTCAAGCAGCACCATTTGGCCATCTATTTTGACCCCACAACGCTGAACTAAAGCGATCATCTGAGGAAGAAAAAGCTTGCACCGATTAACACCAAGTTTAATGGCTTCAAACGTGTGTAGAAAACTATAAATACAAATAACAGCTGAAATTCCTTTTATGCAGAAAAAATTCCTGGATTTTTCAGGATGCTTGGGAGTATGATTTAGAGTTTAAAATTAAAGAATGTTGAATAGATGCTTTACCTCTTTGGTTGGTAAATAGATATGTTCCACTTTCAACTTCTGGATTTCTTGTTGAACAAGCAACCATTTCAAAGGTAGTTTCCTAACCATCCTCTTTGCAAACTTTAAAATCTGGTTCATAATGTTAGAAGCATTGCTCCTTGCGAACGGTAAGCTGTTCTCAATAGCAAAGAAACTTGACACCATTGTTTCATAAGGTTTCCCTTCCAATGCTTTCCGTATGTTATTAAATATTTCTTCGGCCTGAAATTAAACATAAATATTAATCATCAGATATAAATGTGAAAAAGTATTGACAACATCATCAACTACGTCCACTGCAGGAACGAAAGCAACGTAAAAAGCAAGATAATGATGGCAATGTGTAAGTGGTCATGTTCATTGATTTTCAGTGGATTGGATTGGATTTATTCGGTGTAAACACCAAGGATAGCCTACGAAGACTTGTCCGCTTATGAAACTTGTATTTCAGCCCTCTAGCTGAAACACAAGAAAATGCAGCGATGGGAATTGAACCGGGGACCTACAGATCTTTACGGTTCAGCGCACACACAGTGGCTACCACCAGATTAGCCAACAGAGCTAATCAGTGGTCACCCTATTATCCACCATCGTTAAAATGGCCAATCAAATAAAGTATTTTCTTCTTAGATATGGATTGTTAGTGTATAAAACACCCAAAACAAATACTCTTTGTAATAATTCCAAAATTATAATTCTAGTGATGTCTTTGTGGTAGTGAATTATTTGATCAAATAGTCATTTTAATTAGTAATCATGCTCAAGTACTGTAGTTAAAAATCACCTCAAATCACATTATTTTGCGAGTTATCCCCCTCACCTAATCACCGATCCCCACTTTACATTCCCACCACATCAGCTCCCTTATTTCAAGGCCCCCCCACCCCCTACACCACTGATGCTAGGGCCTGCTAGTAGGAAAAGTTTGTAGGCCTACTACTATACAGGATCAGATTGTGCTATAGCCAAAATACAAATGTATGTTATTTTTAATACCGGCATGGTTGTAGTATCTTCTTTTCAAAATAATTCCTATTCCTCTATTTTAACATATTTCAATTCGAATAATAATAATTCAAAGTTTCTTCTATACCGGTTATTATGCATGCAAATTTAATCTAAACTTTAATCATTGAGATTAGGCATGTAGATAGAATACCCGATCGGCAGTGAATGTCCTGATTTGCGAGAAGAAGAGCATGCGCACTTACTCTTGGAAGCAGTGCTTCCATTCCAGTGTTAAATTGGCTATTCTGAAGCCACCACACGGTTGTCACAATAGAAAATTTAAGTGTTGTAGGGTACCAAAGAGTATATCTGAATTCCATTGACTCACTCAATACGTGATTGGTTGATATTGAAAACCAGCCATGCGGAAATTCTAAGCAGCTGATAGGCCTGAATGTGACTTATCCTAGATACCAAGATAGGCTAAACATTGAAAAACTTTGCTTTTCCAATAAAATACAGCAATCCACTCGAAAAAATTAAGGTTTATATAGAAGATTGTGGCTAAGAAATGCTAAATCAAATGCAGAAACTGTACTGCTATATCTTCTTATTTGTTTTAGCCAGGGTATGCACTGCATACCTTGCTTGCCTTGACGGTCCGCCACTGCTCCTGGGCATCCTGAGGTGCAAACATAGCTGGGCAGATCAGGATTTAAGCACTGCAGGACCAAGGCTCTGGAATAATTTACTTTGAACATTAAACATCACCTTCACTTGATAATTTTAAGTCACTACTATCTCTTTTTTGGAATTGTACCTTGAGCAATGACTGTTGAAATGGCACCAAACAAATAGATTGATTGATTGATTGATTGATTGATTGATTGATTGATTGAAAACACGGCTCTAGTTTATGTAAAGCATCTTATTTATAATTTGTCTTGTGAAAAGGATTGCTACGAAAATATAAAATATCTAAATAATATATACAAAACTGCAAAACAAAAAAATATATATATAAAAAAAGTGTTTCATTACATACTGTACAGGGTAATGTGACTGTACTCTCGATTAAGTGCTGCAGTGCTTAGCTGAAAAAAATCAGCTTTGGTGCAACGCTTATTCAAGCATTTACGGTATTGTTTATTGCACTATTTTTAGGAGCACACACTGCACCTACCATACCAGACACAATTCCTTGGAGAATGCAAGTTAACGAGGCACGAGCAACAGATAATTTTCAA